TCTGCCTTCTTTCACGTTGTTCGCTCGAGCGTGGGCCAAGAATAATAGCTGAAAAGCGGGCCGAGGATCTCAATTTTTACGGCGGCTATAGCCGCTTCCCGGCGCGAAGGGGTTAAGAGTAAGATCCAAGAAACTGTTGCCTGTCTTCAACAGACTTTGTTAAAAAAAAAACAGTTGAATTGATCTGGAAAAATGATGACTGGGGTGGGATCTGTAAGAAAAATAAAACTTTACTGACTATTGAAAGTTGTAAGCCTCAGAAGAAGATTCTGGAAGAAAGATCAATCTTATATACATGTATCTTGGGTTTAAAAGTAATTTCTGTGCATGTACATGTATGTACTTCGCAACAATACGATGGTGTGCATTTATGAGCAATGTATAATTTGGGTGGCGGCAACATTTTGGAATTTTGAAAAGTGGACTCTGATTTTATCCCGCAATGTGTCTAGTTAACTGTAGATATAGTTGGGTGAGTGGGTCAGCGTAGCGGTTCTTTCCTCGCTTTGCACCAATGAGGCCCGGGTTCGAGGCTCAGCTTAATTTGGCCCAGGCTTTAAGTTCATTTGGTTTCCAGTCCATACCCGCTCTCGCAGGTTTTCTCCGGGGTTCTCCGGTTTCCTCCTGCCTCTAAAACTGGACCTGTTTCCAAACTCAATAGGGACCCCATTGGAAATAAGATGCAAAATTTACTGAATAAATCCAATCCAATTCAACAAAATGCCAAACACAACTTCTTTTGTTGTAGCTGCCAATACCAGAGGGGCCTGCAGGAATTGCTTTTTACATGATACTGTATGTGCAGCTGAATAAAGAATGACTGAATGAACCCATGACAGCTATCATGAACGACTTTGCCACACATGTTTGCTGTCTGTAGTTTAGGCTGTGTCTGGATCTCTTGTCTAGAGCTAGGTCTAGGCCCTCGCTCCAATGGAAATGCGTGGAGACGCGCAGACAATAGACCTAGCCGAAGCTCTAGAAGCCGGTTTTGGGACACTGCTTTAGTCTTGGTTCCAAGAGCTCCCTTTAGTTTGTAATTCCATGATCATGAACCACCACTTTTAGAGGGGTCTACATATTTCTGGGCTACATGTAAACAGCTGTTTCAGGAAACGTTTGCATATTTCATTTGATCCAGAAGTCAGAAACAAACCCACATACTGCTTTCTGCAGTTTGAATAAGCATTTTGCGGCAGCAAAAGGGCTCAAAATGTAAAGAAGGGTGCCTAAAAACTATTCAGTTTCAGCTCAGTGAATGCTGTATGCATATTCTGAAAAGCACCACATTCTGGGATCTTGATTTCAAATCAAAAGTTGTCGAGTTATGTTACATTTGAATAAAATCTTGTATACTGAGTTATCTCGTTGCACATAAACATAGCAATTTGAATTTCCCAGACTAAAAATACTGTTGCTGTACCTCATGATTCGGGGCAAGCTTTTGGATAGCAGCTGCCATCTCTGGAATGGACTTGTTCCTTTGTGCACTACTTATCCATTGAAAACAGTGTATTGGTGCAAGGCATCTTTTAAGTAACTTAAGTGAAAGCTTGTCCCGAATCACAAGGTACAGAAACAGCGTCTTTAATGTGGAGAATTGTAATTGTTATGTTCA